GAGTACTGTGCCTAAAAAGCCTGTGCCCTCCCAATCGGCCTCAGAAACTCAAACTGGTCCCCAATTTCTCTGTCCCTGTGTTATCTAAGTGTCCCATGTTTTAATCTGTGTGATGGTGCATTTCATGCAGCAGATGATCTTAGAGTGATAACCTTGTTTGTTTCAAAGCTGACCCCAAAAGTTTTGACCCCAACCTACCCTGTTGACCTAGTTCTCAAAGCAGAAATAGAATTTGTATCAGACTGTACCTAAGCCCTCCACCATGTAAAGGGGGCAGCTGCCGCAGGCATCAGGACATTTGACGTAGTAACTGGTAAAGCGAATGTTACCCCATCATAGGAATGGTCTCCTGGCTCTCTAAGTCTCCCTGTCTTATAGGAACAGCAGGATCCATGCTCCTTCTCACGTGCCATGGTGACATTACCTGGGAGGGAGCAGGAAAACATGGGAAGGTCAAAGGTAGGAGGCAGCATTTGACAGGGGCACTGGTTAGAGTAGAACTATCAGGGGCTGGGGTTGGTGCTTGGTGGGAGAGCACTTACGTGGCAGTTGGTACTACACACATCCGCATATAATAGAGATGAACCCTAGAATGAGGTGCTTGGACATGATGGCACATTTGTGTAAGCTTAGCACTAAGGAGACAGAGGCAGGAGGACCACCACAAGCTCAAGACCAACCTAAGCTATATAGGAAGCCTTTGACACCCTCGTCTTCTTGTGAACAACCATTAGCCACAGCAGGTGAATCTCCATTACAACCACAGACACTGTTGCCTTATCTCCCTTCTTGGAGGAAAAACACTTGACTGCTGAGAACCTTTGCCCTTCTGTAGACCTTTGCCCCCTGTGGGATTGAGCTTCCTGTCATTCCCAGCAGAGGGATTGAAACTGCCTTCTGTCTGGGAGTTGTCATTGAACAAAACTTACGGAGCCTAAACAGTCAGCAGCCATCAGGCCCGCTTGAGTGTCTGACACATGATACATGGCCTTTGCAGCAGAAGCACTACCCTGTTCAGGGGTGCCTACCAAGGGTACAGACCGAAGTGGAAGCGCCCCCTTGCTGGAGCTAGAGTTCTTGAGGCTTCAGAAGGACTTTTGTCTCTTCCCAAATGAACCCCCAGTGGGTCCAAATGAAAGTTCTTGGCTCCAGTCCAGGATCGGTGGTGCATGCTTAAAATATCAAATGTTCAGGAGGCTGAGGCAGGAAGATTGCAAGTTGAAGACTAATCTTGAACTACAAAGCAAGACCCTGAATAAAATATTCAACCTACGCTGGCCCAGAATGCACTGTGTAGCCCAGGCTGGCCTCAAACTCATTGAAATCCTTCTGTCTCAGCCTCTTGACTGCTTGGATTCAGGCGTGAACCACTACGTCTTGCTGTTAAAGTTTATAAGAAAGCAAACTCTTTTTTGGCCCATGAGCAGTGGTAAAACATGATATCCATGCATGATGGTTCTGATGGTGCTGGTTCTCAGTCTGTCAACAACATAGCTGCCCTGGCTAGCACCCAGTACCTGATACTTCCTCCTCCGTGCTCCACCTCACAAAGGCATCCACTGTGCTCATCCCTTCCAGGCATCGGTTGGCTTGATTTAACTCCTGGTTGTTTTTTCCTGTAGCCCCACAAACTGCTGAGCTCCAGACCCATGCACAGCTCTGGAGAAGACCATCCCCAGGGAATCGTGTGATGAGGTGGAACTGAAGTTTCTGGGGCAAGAGATACCTGACAGGTTGTTAGACACATTACTGAAGTCGCACATAAAATCCTAGAGCTCAAAGTTGGGGAGATAGCTCAGTGGTTAAGCACTTGCTGCACACACTCATGAGGACATGAGTTCAGATCCCCAGTAACCGAGTAAATGCCAGATGGTCGTGGTGCTCTGCCAGTAATTACAGCCTGGAAAGGCAGAGACAGGATTCCTAAACAGATTAGCAGTACCAGCCACTGAGTGAGCTCTGGGTTTAACTGAGAGACTCTGTCTCAATGGATGACACAGAAGAGTATGATTCCTTATCAACCCCAGTTACACACACACACACACACACACACAAATACATACTGGGGAAAATAAATCTAGAGCTCATCGAAGGGCAATAGTAACAAACAATGCTACATGCTAAGTACGACTAAAATCCTAGAGTCTTAATTACAGTACGTCATTAACAGTATAGTAACAGTAATGCCATTTAATGATACCACGTGGCACAGTATTGCTGATACTGCACTACAGAAGCTACTGTCACTGAAGAAAAGAGTGGTCGGTAGCACTAGGCAGTGAGGTTAGCACCAAGGCTCATGGTGCTGACCCCAGTTTTAGGAACGTTAGTAAGATTGTTTTCTCGTTCCATGTCCCTTCTGCCTCACAGATTACATTTCTGCACTATGTGTACCCAGTCAGTCAGAATTTGGAAGATAAAGCCATGTTTAAGCTCACAGTGTCGCAGGATTGCAACCGGAGTTTAGTGGCTCTGGTACGGAGATTAAAAAGAAAAACAACCTACTGAGCAAAACTGGGGTTATTGTTGTGTGACGCTGGGAGCTATCAGTCAGGTGGCAACCATGTTGGAATCTATTCGTGTGAAGGAGGATGTGTTTGCCAAAGGTCACCAAGGAAGAACTGAGTGGCCAGTGGAGGGAGTGTGGGGCAGGTAGGGGTAAGCCTTGGGAAAGACTGTGAGAGGCCTGAAGACTTTCACTTCTCTTGGGACTGCCAGGCTAATTCTCTTCCCCTGCTTTGGTCTCAAATAGTCAAGGTCCCCACTCCTTCCCTCCTTCCCTCTCTCCCTCCCTACTTCCCTCCCTCCTTCCTTTGATTGTCCATGTGAACTACAATCCTCTTTCCCCTCTGAATCCATACAACTCCTTGTCCTCTGGAACATCCCAGACATCTGAGGGGGAAGGAAACATGGCAGTTTCCAGGGCTGAGAGGGGCTGTTAATAGCATAGCCAGTAAAAGCAACAGAGTCCAAGACTTGACCTCAGGCCCAATATATGGTCCGGCTCCAGGCCTGACTCATCTGAGAAGCTAAGCCGGTGAATGAGGCTGGGCTGAAGGCTGATGGCCAACGACCTTTGGAAGAGCAGCTGTACGAGTTCATTTCCCCGTGCTGCTTCTCCTCTCTTCTCTCAGATGCTGGTACAGGTGACATGCGTCCTATGTGTCACAGCAGTTTTCCTGCACCAGAGCCATTGTTCAGCATAGATTTGTGTGCACGTGCTCTGCTTGATGGGGGAGACAGAGAAGTAAGAGGAGCAGGTCATGCCATCAGACCTGACAGTCTAAAGGGAAAAGGGGCCATGCAAACCTGTGATTTAAATTCGGCATGGCAAGAATTATAATAAAGGCATGAAAACATGCGCACCACATCACTGGAGAGCCAAAGACTGAGTGGTCATATGTAGAGCCATGTTGAGAACATAGTTCATGTGCTTCTTTGCCTCCTGGCTGCCTCCTGTCCCACCACGAAGGCCACCAGAGCTCAGCGTGCTGTACCTCACCTACAAATCCCCCTATGCCCTCTAACCCTCAGCAAAAGCCTCACTAAACAAGTGAAGCCTGAGCCCATCTTTCACTTCAGAATGAAAGAAATTCCAGTGCTTGGGCCCCATAGCTAGCACACAGCAGTACTGACCCTTGAGCCCAGGTCGTGGGCTTCACCTCCATTCAAGACACAGATGTTGCTATCATCCTTCACTGGACACAGAACCCTTTCCAGGAAATGCTTCCAGAAACAAACTGAAGGACTCTGACTTGTGTGTCCCAGCTGCCTGTGTGCATCCCTCAGTACCCTTTCCCAGCCTGTAGGTGTCCGCCATTGACCCCTGGGCCTCCTCCTCTGCCTCCTGAGTGTCAGTCTTTCATTTGCTCATAGATTTCATGAATAAATTGGTGAAGGCAGAAAGCAGCTCTGACAAAAGGGGACGTTATAAATGAACAGGGGAGGGAGTTAGTTTTTAAGAACATGGTGTCTAAGATGTGAATCATCTTGGATCTTGCCCAAGGTACCATCGAGGCTGAGGCTGCAGCATGCACTGTGAGAAGATCTGCATTGGAGATGCTCAAACATCTCAGCTGCTCAGCGGAAAATGGTCCATCCATAGTTTGACTGTTCTCTTAAAAAACAAACCAAGAAAAAAAAAACACTGTTTTAAAAGCACAATCATTGAATGAGGCCAGAGATGAAAATCAAGGTTTTATTACCTCGTGTGTGCCATGAGGCCTCCAGTTCTAAGTTAGAGTAGGAAAACTTGGTTCAAGTTCACTAGTGAACATAACAAACTTTGTAACATTAACAACAAATTAAGACAGATGGGGACAGAAAGAATGTAAGAGCTGGAGGATGGGGAGGAGTGATGGAGGATGAGGAAGGGTGCTAGAGGATGGGGAGGAGTGCTGGAGGAAGGGGAGGAGTGCTGGAGGATGAGGAAGGGTGCTGGAGGAAGGGGATGGGTGCTTTGAGGATGGGGAGGAGTGTGGAGGACGGGGAAGAGAGCTGGAGGATGAGGAAGGTTGCTGAACGATGGAGAGGAGAGTTGGAGGATGGGGAGGAGTGCTGGAGTATGGGGAGGAGTGTTAGAGGATGGGGAGGAGTCCTGGAGGATGGGGAGGAGTGCTGTGAATGTCTTCTAAACTCATGAACTCACTGCAGCTATGGTGATAGGCACAATTGGACATATTTGATTTGAGAGAGAGAGAGAGAGAGAGAGAGAGAGAGAGAGAGAGGGAGGGAGGGAGGGAGAGGGGACTCACACAAACATAAGAGGGACAGGGTATTTGTTGGGGTGGGGGGATGTTGTTGAATAATAAATAAAATATATTTAATAAGTAAGTGAAATCCTGACACTCAGGAGGCAGAGGCAGGAAGATCTCTGTGAGTTTGAAGCCATCCTTGTCCACATCACAAATTCCAGGCCTGCCAGTGCCACATAGTGAGACCCCATCTCAAACAAGAAGTCAAGTGCAGATTGTAATCTATGCTATTTTGTCTCTTTGTAGGGAATGCCAGTGCAGAAGAGGACCCAGCATGACTGCTAACCTATGACTCCTAACAGTATGACAGGTATCTACTTGTCCTTTCTTGATTTTCTTTGATTCATCTGTGTGCGCCCAAAGTGAAGTACTGGGGTCCTAAAGCCAACCAGAGAATCTTAGCAGCACTTATTTCCAAGCATCAAGTATTATTACTCTCTCTCCTCCTCAGAAATGATGTCATTACCAGGAGGCTGACCTAGGGGAGACGCTAGTTTCAGTCCTCCTAGGATCACCCCTATGCACTGAAGTCATTATTCTTCAAATTCTTTCAGAGTCACATAATAAATAGTTCTGCAGCCTTAGTGACCACAAGTCAGTATATCTTTTCCAACAAGAGCCGCCCGGTCCAGCAGCAGTAAATCTAAAGGCAATGTTAGGACATCACATATGGCATATGTGAGCTTTGAATCCCTTAACAGGGCCAGAGAGAGCCAGAGGCACCCAATAGGCATACAATGGCCCAGGGACCGAGCAAACACCAAAGGCTGAAAACCTTAGGTATAAGCAGGCCCTGCACACTCTGACTCCCTCTGAAGCAAACCACCCTCGGTTATATATGACCACTGGAAAGAAGGCAGGCTAGGACATCCAGAGATTTTGAATTAGAAGGAGATGTTGGAAAACTAAATTTTTAAATGAAATATCCAAATTTTAACATATCTACATTTAACTTAGGAACTATCAAAGATTCATGAACCAAAATGTGACTGATGACTGAAATCAAACCATGAGCTCTCAGAGCATGGCACTGGCTCTCTGCCTTCTACCTTAATTCCAAGCCAATGCCTGGCCTCATGGTTGCTATGGCAGCAAGGAGAATGCCCATACTCCTCTGCACATCATAAAACAGCCTGGCCTTCGGGGATTCGTTCATGACACTTCCCCCCCCAGAATGGAACAAATGGACAGTCAGTTCCTTTGCGAATCCATTCTCTAATACACCTGAAAACCCAAAGCAGCTGTGATCAAACCATTATCTCCAGAGCATCACACCGTGGCTCCCTACCCACCAAGGCTTGAACTCTTGATTTGGCAAAAGATAGAACACCTGGACGAACCAGAGTGACTTGTACCTGTAGAAATGGGAATTTGGAATTACACACCCTCTCCACAGCTTACTTCACATCAGAAAACACCACTCCTCCCATTCCACTGCCAAAAATGGTCAGGTTCCTCTCCACTCAAGTCTCACCCATTTCTGGGCAGAAACCATGCTCATTCTGGTGGGAAATTAGTGTGACTCCATCTCAGCCACAGCCTCCATGTGCCCAACCGAGGGTCTGAAAGGCAGCCCTGGGCAGAGAGAGTGACAATCTCTGTCTCTGTTCCTGCATGTATGTGAAAGCGCACAGGCAAGCAGACTGCAGGTCATGGCACTGCAAACACGGACGCCATTCCTGTCTGAGAAAGTCTGAATGGTCTCATGAGGTACAAGGTGATAGCTCTGTACTCCACCATGAGCTGCCCCTGAAAATACTTCCTGAGGAAGGGACTCTAGAGAACAAACACAGAGACATAGAAACAGTAATATTTAATGTGGTTGTGGATAATAACGATATTTGCTTGCTGTGGGGGGCAGATAAGTAGTGATCACTCATCCATGTGCCTCTAGAACAATAATCGGTAATATTGATAGATTGTTGCATGGTTGATTGATTGATTCAGTACTCATCTGATCTCTAGTTATAAAAGGCAGTAAATAGATATTCTGTTTCTATAATCCATTCAGTGTCTTGTCATGGGTCCCCGTGTGATGCCACCACAGCATGAAGAGCCTTAAACTATACATTACTAAGTAAGCTTGGCTGTTTCCTAGTGAAACTCGGCCTACAAACCAGGCAGAAGGCCAGTTTTGGCAGTGGGTCGTCTTTGCTGGTCCTCTCTGTGGAGTCCCCAGTAGGCATGGAGGTTTCCTCCAGCTTCAGCTCAGCCCAACATAGAACAGAACCTGAAGCTGAGACTCTGGACTAGGAACCAGGGTTGCTACTAGACAGAGACTAACCTTGTGGGCTGAGCTGCCTCCTAGTGGGAGGGATTGGTCTAACTTCCAGTAGGCCTTTTCTCTGGAGGCTCAGCCAGCTGCATTCATAAGAGAGCCCACTCCACAGATAGGCTGTGTGTGTGAATGGGCTCAAATAAGAAAACCATTACATTAGAGGCTTTCATTTGTGTGTGAAATGAAGCCGTTCCTTTTCTCCCTCTCCCTCGATGCAGGCTCCAGCCACAGCATCGCTTTAACCTGAAGGGAGACCACAGTAAAGACGAAAGCCATTGGAACCATGCACATTCTAGGTGCATAATTTAAAAGCCAAGCATGCATTCTTTCTCTTCAGAAAACATAACAAGTACACTGGCTGTTAAGCATTAAAGAACGTCAGTTAACCCTGATGAGAAGACAACCAGCTAAATGAGTAGAGTTAGGAACGACAAGCCTACTTTCCTAACAGCAAGCCAGCATTTCACACAAACCAGTGGTTCTCAGCCTTCCTAACGCTGCTACCCTTTAATGCGGTTCCTCGTGTTGTGGTGACCTTCAGCCATAAACTTATTTTTGTTGCTACTTCCTAACTATAATTTTGCTACTTTTATGAACAGTAATGCAAATATCTAGCATGTGGGATATCGGATATGTGACCTCTGTTCAATCCCCCAGGGGTTACAGCCCACAGGTGAAGGAACCAGTGGTATAGAGGCTTTTTTAGCTACAAAGCTTGTGAAATATATGTATTTTGAATGTACTGGAGGCAAATGTGTTTGTTTTCTGGGGTTACCATCAGCTGTTGGAGCTGGGTCTTGCCAAAACTTCATCTCTTTGCCTTGCCTAATCTGAAATTAGGGCTATATGACATCACTCACTGAATAATTCTTTAAGGGGAAGGTAAGAAAGTTCCTTCATACGATATTCTATTGGTTGAGCATTAAGCTCTATTTCCGGGTAACCTGAGGGAATGATCTGGACATTTATGACACCTTAATGAGCCCTATTTTAAGTAAAGCCATGATTCCCAGCACAGGGGGATCAGTCCTAAGATGTGAACACTTAACATTCCTAACAGCAAAGCAAAAAGCATTCTGGCATTGTTTGTCAAAGAAACCAAGAGCTTAGACTTCTCTGACTGTTCCTGAGGCTGCGGGCAACCAAGATTTGTAGCATTTGTGTAGAGCCTCACTTCATGAGGCTAGGATGAGAATAAAGTTAGTGTGGTCTTCCTGGGCCTGTGATGTAAACTACACCACTACTGTTAGTACAGTCTTCCTGGGCCTGTGATGTAAACTACACCACTACTGTTAGTACAATTTTCCTGGGCCTGTGATGTAAACCACATCACTACTGTTAGTACAGTCTTCCTGGGCTTGTGACATAAGCCACACTACTACAGTCAGTGTGGTACTCCTGGGCCCGTGATGTAAGCCACACTCCCGACCAGCCCTCTTAGGGAACAGTGTATTCCTGGTTTCATGATTTCACCAGCACTTCTTCCTTCTGGCTGCTTGATTCTTTCACCTCATCAGTATTTTGTTTGTTTTCTTTATCTGTTTTCCTTAAAGGACCATTATAACTGAGAGTCCCAGCACAGGGCTGTTGCAGTGATACCCTGGGCTTCCAACAGTGGGCTCAGTGTTCCTTTCTGTTTGCTAAGAGTGACATAGCTTTATGTACATTTTTATTACTCCTGGAGTTAAGCATTTTTCACATGTTTATGGTCACTCACATGAAGCTTCCTGTCTGTATTTGTCATTTTCCATTGTTATCTTTGCCTCTTTTTTTCATTATCTGTGTTAGGTATTCATATATTAACAATGTCACCTAAGGCAACCACTCAGTCTCACCAAATATGACCGATGTGCCCCCACTTCATACACTACTTCCCAGACCAACCCGCTGCACCAGGACTCTTCCTCTGCAGGAAAGGGAACTCCATTGCTCATTTCCCTAGGAGCACAGAGCCCCTTAACACGCCTCTCCCATTAGCATGGTATAAGCCCCAAGTTAGTTGGGAATTTACCACTTTGGAAAGCAAAGGAAAAGAAAGCTTGACAAGTCTATCATTTTACATTTTCTCCCTGTGGCATGCATGGCAGAGAGAGGTGAAAATCTCCACATTATGCCCACTCTAAAGAGATCAGAACCTCAATTCATCTTCACAATTTTCCACCATAAGCAGGAAAAACATCAAGAAACTACAGAAAGTGCCTCAGTGTGTACCAGCAGAGGGAGACCCTGGGCCTGAGGCCATCTCTAGAACTAGGGGGAAAAAGGAACAAAAAGAGAAAAAAGAAATGAAATTTAAGGGAGAGTTTCTACACAGCTATGACACCAGGTGTTCCCCAAACCAGACACAAATGCTTCACTTTCAAATTGGGAGGACCATGGGCTCTTTCAGAGTCTACTAACAAGGACCTGACCCATATACTCTGGTCAACTGCCTGTCCCTTCCCTTCCCTCCCCTCTTTATCTTCCTTGCAAAAACTGTGGGATGGTCAGGACTTTCTGAGAGAAGAAAGGTACAGAATTTCCATTTCCAGTCAGACCAGTGAGAATCGCTTTTCAAACCTCCAAATCTATAAGATTTGTGTGAGTGTGAGTGTGTGTGTGTGTGTGTGTGTGTGTGTCATCCTTAACACCTTCTGAATCTTCCTTAATCTATGCTTTTAGTATTTGGCTTTTCCCTACATTTCCCTTACCCCATTGTGCCTCCATCTCTCTCTGCCTTAACCCCTCTCTATGTTATCATCACTGACATCCCACCGTAACCCCGTGTCACCATCACTGACATCCCACTGTAACACTGTGCCAACATCACTGATATCCCACTATAACCCCATCACTGACATCCCACTGTAACCCCGAGTCACCATCACTGACATCCCACTATAACCCCGTGTCACTATCACTGACATCCCACTGTAACCCCGTGTCACAATCACTGACATCACACTGTAACCCCATCACTGACATCCCACTGTAACCCCATCACTGACATCCCACTGTAACCCCGTGTCACCATCACTGACATC